ACACAATTTGTTAACAATCCCTTTGTCACACCCCGTTAAAGCGGAAACATGAAGGGTGACAGGCTAAGGTCTCACAACACAAGGTAAATAGGGTTACCAACCATAATCATTGAGCATTTTATATTTACATCATATTCGAAACAATATTACATTTTAGTTGCATACTACATAGTCTAGTACATAACAAGAGCAATAAACATAAATCATTGTGGCATCTTAAACTGGCTCACTGACCGTTTCCTAAAAAGCATGCAAAACGAGGGTCAACTATAAAATAGTTGGTGAGTTCACAGGTTTATAAAGGTACATCATTTCAGTAAGAAAATCTGGATTTGTTCAACAAAAGTTCCAACTCAAAATGAGTGTTGAATGCCAAAGCACTCCGTTCACAACCAAGACTAACGACCACTTCTCCCCATTCCATCATGTCCATGGTTCTCATGATGTCAGTTCATGGAAATATGCACTCACGGTTCTGGCGAGTGGGGGATGTCAACCCAAAATAACGCTATCCATAAGACCATCGGCTCGAATACGAGTTAATAGGTTGTAATTCGGTTCTCGGGGACTTAACATACAAAGTTCATAACATAGAGTTCATATCACAAAGTTCATATCAAAATTTCAATATACAAATCGTTCCAAGTTCGTTAAGTTCATATAACATGGCTCAACAAGTTCATAAAACAAGTTCAACATGTTCATAAAACAAGGTTCATCAAGTTCATAAAAAATTAACATGCTTTCCACCCCAAAATATGAAAACAGTAAAAAGGGGTTGTGAATACTTACTAGGGGGAGTTTGCGGTTCGAGCTTCACGGTTCAGTGTTGTAGAGATCGATTTCTACTAGTTCCCTATGGAACAAATAGTTTCTAGTGATATACAATTCACTAAACCATTATCTAAGAACTATATATCCAACTAGTGGTGTCACAACGTGCCTAAAGTTTGTTTAGTTCATTATTGGTAATATTGAATTCACGGTGCCTTGTGTTCAAAATCCATAAAGGCATGAAAATGAACTCCAAAAATTGTAAAACTTTATATTCTGGTTCTAACAGAGGGTATTAGTATCCATAAATTTTATAGAGAATTTTGAAGGTCATTTGTTATTTATTTGCAATTTAACTCTAAATAATAGGAAAAATTCAAATTAAATAGCAACAAGTTGCAAAAATTCCCAAATTAATTTTTTCATGCTCTCATAATGTTACCAAAGTTAGGAAAAATATTGGTTCAGGCCCTTAAGTCTAATGACAAGGTTTTGTAAATTCATTCTCTAATTCAATGAAAAATCTGAATAAAATACCAAACAGTGACCAAATTGTATAAAACGTATATGGGATCCTTATTTAGTGAATACATCATATCTAAAGTTTTTTAGATTTTTATCTCACCTGTAAATGATCATTTTGAATATATGGCCATTAAATTCTTATTTTTGTAGAAAAATAAGGATTTTGTTTAAGCACTTGGAGTTTCACAAAACATCTCTTAAAGACATGAGGTTTCATAAAACAAATTGCTTCAGAATTAGTTCGGAGCTAAATGGGGGTATTCGACCCCAACAAGTTTTGAAATGCAGCACTAACTAGTGCATGAGTTCCAAATGTAGCTGGAAGTTCAAGAATTTGTGTAGAAACATTTATAAGGTTTTAGTTCATGAAATTTTATCTCTTCTGAGATAAATGTCTCCAATTTATAAAATATTTTTCTCCAGATTTATTGTGGGGTTTAAGGCCTTTGATCATGTAATGCAAAACTAGTGATCACAGAAAAAGTGTTGTTTACACAACTGGTTTGTAAAAATCGCCAAAAATCAAATTCTTAATGTTTTACAGTAAGGCCACTTAGGTTCGAAATTTAACTCAGGGAAATAGTCCTCAGAAAAAGAATATCATGATTTGGTCAATAAATGAGTGAGTTATGACCTTTTAAATTCGAGTAAACAAATCTGACAGAATATTCAAAAGTAAAATTCATGAAAACATAGTTCAAACTCCTATTTTACCTAATGATATCGGTTTATTTTGCTTAGATTGAGATAGAACAACATTATATTAAATATATTCTGTAGAAATACTTGTTTCTAACCATTTGATCTTACATGCAACCAAGCTAGATGAGACTAAACTTTTGAAAAATCGGTTTTTGGTGCTAGATAAGGCTTGCATGTGCTCACCTTTGCTCTTGACTTTGGTTTGATCATGGATGATCACTATTTACAGAACATGCAACATGTTTTTGGTGGTGATCTTCAAAGATCAATATCAAACAAATGTTCTTGGCAAGAACATGCCTTAGAAATTGAAAATAGAATGAGAAAATGACTAAAACTTGTAGAAATTCATTATGGGTCTTAAAGAGATGTATGATACTCACTTACCCTTTGATGTGAAGCTTCAAAAACACCCAAAATATGGCTTAAAGTTCATGTTTGAGGGGCTGATTTCTAGAGAGAGAAAGTAAGGTTTCTAGAGAGAAGGAAGAGGAAAAATGGGGTTTTGTCTCTCTGGATATACTATCTCTCGTCGACTCTTTGGAGCTATACTCCACCAAAATCGTCCACAAAACTCCAGTAATGTGAGTTAACGTATGAAAAATGAAATGAAAAAATCTCTCCCACAGAATATGTCTCTAAGATCGGATTTCCGCTCTCTCAAGGGCATGCAAAATCTGACCTCGAGATTTTGCATAAAGAAGCAAGATATAATTAGTGAGAGAGAGAGAGTGTGTGTGTGTGTGTGAGGGTTGTGTATGGCCGAATTTTTGGGGTGAAGAGAGGCTTTATAAGGCTCTTTAAAGCTGGAAATCTTTAATAATGTTGCCTCTTAACCATTTTTATAAAAATGATCTTTAGTTTTTATGAATATTCTATGTATTTTTATAAACTTCCAAGAGTTTATTTCTTAATTTTTATTCAAGTATTTTGTTTTTAGAAATAAGTTCATAAACATGTATTCTCTTGAATTAAATTACAAAAATGATAACATATGGTTTGACTTTTATAAAATCAAATTTTATATTTCATATTAATGAAACAAAGGTTCACATATGAATGTAGAATTAGACAATCATTGGCTTATATTTTTGGCTCATAATTCAAATTATGATATGTGGATATTATTTCCAACTTGTAATTAAATCAAATTATGATTTAATTAGATTGAGTTTGCTAAGTACTTAAACTAGTTAAGCACGTCATATGTTCCGATTAATAAATTAGGGTATTTAACTTACCCTTGAGTCGTGATCAATTGAACATGGTTTTGTGTTTAGTTTTGAGATTGAACTTTGGCACTTTACAACCTAGTTGGAGTATTCACATATCAATGTGTCTGCTTAGTATAAGTTAAGTTACACTACTTGTTCCGAGGGATCTATTAAGTCGCGATCTAGCTCAACTTGTTGCATCTAAAGCCAAGTTATGTGCACGCATGGAAATGACAAGGTTCTAGATGAGTCCTAACCTGAGTTTTGACGGATGTCACACCATCATCCACCATAGGTAACAATATGTTCTTCAAACTCCAAGAACTTCCAAGAAAGGGAACAAAACCACAATATGACCTAGAACTTAAATCTAGAAGAAAAGGTGTCAAGGTATGAGCTTTATACCTTTAACAACTCAGAAAACTGAAAGGAATGCTTGATCCAAACTTACTTTTTGTTTCCTTGCTTCCTTGTGAACTTCCTTTTTCCAAAGATCCACCAAAAACCGAAGATCAAGGCTCAAAATCAAGGAAATGGAATCTCAAGCACGCATGGAGGCTAGGGTTTCTAGATGGGGAGGTGGAGGCTGAAGAATATGACTTAGAATGAGAGTTAAGGTGTTTATATATGAGGGAAACCATAAAAATCCTAGATTTGAGGTGCAGCAGCTGCCACTACGTGTCCATCTTATGTCACGCCATGACATCTCCAAAACACACGTTTCATTAAATCTCACGCCACGTCGTAGGCATCCAATCCCTACGTTGTGGCAGAGGGTTTTCTAAAAAACCTTATTTTTTGATTCCTTAAGTCTTGGCCAACCTTCTTCCGGAAATGGGTATTACAGGAGCTCATAATCCAAACATTTATCTCATTTCCTCTCATTCTCGCTCTTTATACTCTCTACTTAGGGTTTGTGTTCATCATTCAGTTCATTCAAAAATATCAAGTTTACACTTTGTAATTTTGTGATTATGTGGTATAGATATTGTTTGTTTTTAATCTTTCTATTATTCTTGTTTTAGTTTCAAAACTTGTTTAGTAAAGTTCGTGCTTAATACATGAACTTGTATTTAAAGTTCAAATAGCTTAAGAGGAACTTATAATTCAAACATTTATATCCTCTCCTCTCATCGTTGCTCTCTATACTCTCTAAGGTTCATACTTAGGGTTTATTTTCATTGTTCAGTTCATTGAAAAATATCAAGTTTACACTCTATCATCTTGTGATTATGTAGTATATATATTGTTTTTTTTTAATCTTTGTATTATGCTCGTTTTAGTTTCAAAACTTGTTTTGTAAAGTTTTTTTGTTAATACATAAACTTACGAGTTGTTTGCTATTATGTAAATGTGTATCATTTTGAATTAACCATCTTATAAACTTGTTAAAAAAAATTACTTAGACTATTGTTTCAATAAACTTATAAAGTTATAAAATCCTATCGAGTATACCTTTTATTATATATCAAAACATCTTTATTAATTTTAAAATAACATCAAAATATCATCTCTCATTGTGGGAAGAAACTAGGGATGTCAACGGGACAAATAGGAGCGGAAATAGTTGCTCCCGCCCCCGAAATCAGTTGTTGCCCCCGCCCCTGAATCCCTGTTTACACAACCCCCAATCCCGCCCCCGAATACCTCCATGGCCCCCGATCATGCCCCCATTATATAGGCTTAAAATTGATTTTTTTGCAAAAAAAAAAAAAAAAAAAAAAAAACCAGCTATATTTTGGAATAAAAAAAAACTAATTTTAATAACTTTAAAAAGCTTAAAATCTAGTTTTTTAGTAACTAAAAAATTACAAATCCAACATTACAAAACGACAAATCCAACAAACTTACAAATATAAAATACAAAAAATCCAACATTACAAAAAAAAAAAATACATGTTCAATATATATATGACCAATTGGGTGTATTCGGCTGACATGAATCTGAAATGGTTCACACAAAAACAAAAAATCAGCAATGTGAAGAATTTCACAGCAACAATGCAACATCAAAACTTAAATCACAGCAACATCATAGCAATTACCAAACATCAAATATTCAAATTACCAAAAATTTCACAGCTTATAAAGGTTCTAATAAGAACCTAAAGTAGACTATGAAGATGAACATGTATGTAACTATGGTTTATGATAATCATCTACATTATAATTTATTGCCTATAAAGGTGATTGATTTATTTAAGTAATTATGAAATGAGGGTTTTATAAAAACAACTGTCATGCATATTCACTTATTTATTAATATGATTATTGTTAATAAATGCAAGACCTTTAATTTGATTATATGTAAATGATGATACGAAAGAATATTATTCAACAAAAAATGTAGATTATCAAGTTGCATAGCATTTTTAATGGTAAAAAGTTGAGAATTCAAATTGCAAGGAAAAGTGATCAATGTAGATTATCAAGTTGCAGAGATTTCACAGCAATGTCAGAGCATTGTAACTTCTTTTAGTAAGAGTATTTGTGAATAATTTGTTTTTGTCTATGTTGTTTATGTGTAGCAAAAATCTCACACCAATATCATATGATTCATATCTATTAGCAAACATCATAGCATAGTCTCGTTTGAAAAGAAATTAGAAATTGGAATAAACATAGTATTTACCAAACATCATATCAAAAGAAATCAAAAATTCACAGCAACATAGTTTTGTTTGAACTGGAACAAAGAAGAAATTACACTAACTAGCAGGCCGTCGGTGGCAGGGGAAGGCGGAGACTGCCGGCTGCGATGGGAAGCAGCAGGCTGCACACGTCTTCACTCTTCACTCTTCAGGCGATGGTTGTTTGATTGTGTGAGTACTGAGCCCTGAGGAACACGATACTGACGAATGACTCGGTGATGGTCGTCTCCTCCCGAAAGGTGGAGGCGGAGGTGAAGCCTACCCGTGGCGAGGGGTGAGACGACATCACAATGATGACTCGATGAGAGATTGAGGGTGTTAGGAAATCGGGAATTGTGGATCTTGGGAGAAGTCGCCGCTGATGTTGTGTGAAGTCAAGTGGAAGAAACTTAGAAATCTAAAATTAGATAATGTATACATATTTCTATATTTAATATATATTAAATACAAATAGAAGTTTTTGACATCCCAAGAAGACACGCAACAAATGCCACCCACCATAGCAACACGTTGATACACTTTAATTCATGCTTAGTAGTTTAACCGACATGAAATGGATTTTCTTTTTCCGATCAAAGCCACAAGCGACAAAATGGTTTTAATTTACATCAACCTTATTGTCTATTAACTTGTAATAAAATCATGAATTTGCTATTGATACAGTTTAATTCATGCTCCATATTTAGTATTTTTACTACAGGCTTGGAGCCTGGATGATTCATAATCTTTAAACTCAAATGCATCATTTCGAGAACCATTTAAAAAACAACCAAAAATTCATCATTTTTAAACAAATTCATATTCAATCCCATTTTCATTCATAATATAATGCCCATTGATAATTATAACATCATTTGAAGATTAAGCCATGAGCTTATGAACAAAAGTAATTTACATTTGATATACCGCTTTCATACAAAAGAAAAAAAGGTCTAAACTACCCTACCATTTTCAACTTCACCTTTTGTTCTTTAGGGCGAAGGTTGCTAATCGCTAGTGAAAGGTCATAAAGATAGTCACATGTATCATAAAGAAAAAGAAAACACACCAACAACCAAAAGCAAATGAAATTAGTTAAATATGAAAATGTATGTAGTTTACTTTGGACATTACCATCATGCACAACAAAAAACATTACCTTTAGCGACGACAAAAAACGTCCGAATTGATAACTCTTGTCGTCACTAATACCTTTACCGACGACAAGTCGTCACTATACCTTGTAGCTAATACTCATTTTGTCGTCGCAATTGACGTCGTCTCTAATATTCGTCGTTGCTAAATGTCATGATCGTCGTTATTGGTGTCGTCTCTATTGATATTCAGGCCACCGATCGGAGGTTTTCAGGCAAGGGTTCCCGGAGGCGGGAGTCGTTGCAATTGGTCAATGTTGTCCCTAAAGGTGTCGCTACTAATGTTTTTTTTAAATAAAAAAACAATTTATTTATGATATTAGTTTATATATTATAAAATGCAGATTTGATAAAAATACATAAATCAATACATACCACATTACATAAAACATCACATATACTACATTACATAAACTATCTAATAAATCCAAAATAAAACATCAAATATACCATCGATAAACTATCTAATAAATCCAAAATAACATCATCCATAACATAAAACAAGAAATACTATGTGTCTTCGTCTTCCCCATTGTTGTTGACTTGGTTTTTAAATGAGCGGAGAATTGATCTGGAGGCATTCACACAGATCGTCGGTACCACCATTTAGCGATGCAACCATTAGTTGCAACCTGACCCTTTAGCAACGACAAAAACGCGAATTGTCTGATGTCGTCCGTAAAGCTAACTGTCGTCACTAATGGTGGCGTCCTAAAAGTTATATTTCTTGTTGTGATGGCAAAAGACTAAAGAATAGAATACCCAATTAGTCGGTTGCTATAATTTTTTTGTGTACAAATGTTTTAGCTCACTAATATTTTTTTGTACTGAATAAACTTGAATGATATTTTTTAAACAATTTTGAAACTTAATTACCATCTTAAATCATTTTACCAAAGTTATATAGATAATCAACATATCGTACGACGCAAGCCTTGGAAACTTGACACCATTAGAAAATTTATATTGGAACGCTCTTAAAGTTAAGTTGCCTTTGAAATATGTTTTTTTGTGAATGAGGTGAATGTTTTTTTTGTGAATGAGGTGAATCATAAAGAAGTTGATGTTCATTTGGAAAGAGAGAAAATTTCTAATAATGATGTCAAAATTGTTAAAAGTGACCATGTTGATGTTTTTAAAATATCTCCAAATGGTTATCAACATATTATTTGTGTAGCAAAATACATAAAGGTTGATCTCTTCCAAGATGAAGATTAAGCGAGATTCTTTAAATATTGGTATATTTTATATATCAATTTTAACCTCACAAAGTTGATTAAGATTGAGATAGGTTGTTTAAATATTGGTATATTTTATAAATCAGTTATGTTAGATATGCAAAGACTAAAAATAAAAAAAGAGTGAGATAAACAAAGCTAAATGAAAGAAAGATGGAGTTAAAGGACGAAAGGTGTTCAGTATTGAAAGGTTGAGGAACAATACGTAGAAAAGGAAGCAAAGAAGGGTTAATCAGTATTTATGACTTATATATAATCAATATTCATCAGAATGATAATCATGTTCATTTTCAAGAAATAAAATGAGAGAAAGAGACATTTATTAAGGTTTCTTTATGTATTCATCGCCTTGGTGGATGAGCTGAAATCTGCAAGCTTCAATTCCCCGTTCATTTTCTATTGTATGTTCTCATCAATTTGTTTGATGATGAATGTTGAGTTTCATTATCACATGCATGTCTTAGTTTTAAAGTTTTTTTTAAAGAAGTCATTTAATATTAGCCTTTGAGAAATTTGTTGCATGTTTCGTTATCACATGTTTTTCATTAGTAAGCTTGAGAGATTTGACGAATAATGTTGAGTTTATAAAACTTGAATGTTTTTAGGTGTTTAAATATAATTGATGGCTTTAGATTGATGCACAGGTAGCTTACCCATAAAGAATCCACCATGGCTAGTTTTTTGGTTAACACACTAAAGGAGGCAATAGACGATTTAGGAGAAACATTGCAAGAAGTACAACCTATCAATGCACTCAAAGAGGCTGTAGTTGATGTAGAAGAAAAATTACAAGAAGTACAACCTATCAGTGCACTCAAAGAGACTATCGCTGATGTAGGAGAAAAATTGCAAGAAGTACAACCTGTCAATGCACTCAAAGAGACTATAATTGATGCAGGAGAAAAATTACAAGAAGTACAACCTATCAATTCACTCAAAGACACTATAGCTGATGTAGGAGAAAAAGTACAAGAAATACAACCTATCAATGTACTCAAAGAGACTATAGGTGATGTAGGAGAAAAGTTGCATGAAATACAACCTCTAAATACACTCAAGCAGACTGTAGCTGATGTACAAGAAGAATTGCATGAAATACAACCTATCCATGGCCTCATAGACACGATATCTGATGTACGAGATGAATTACTTGAAGCACAACCTGTCAATGCCCTCATGGAGGCCATATCTGATGTACAAGAAGAATTGCATAATATACAACCTCTAAATGCACTCAAAGAGACTATATCTAAGGTACGAGAAGGACTACAAGGCGTACAATGTGTCACTGAAATCATAGAGGCTATAGTACCTCCTGTCATGGGAGTCATAGAGACTATAGTACCTCCTGTCCTTTCACTTGTGAAAAAAATCGTCCTTATGTGCGCTACAAAGGACTAAAGAGAAATAAAGTTGTTTATATTTATGATTTAAAAGTGCTTAAGAAGGTAATGTGTATTCATAAGTTTTAGGAACATGTAAAGTGTTTAAGAAGGTAATGCGTATACAAAAGTTGAGGAACATGTTAATTATTGTAATGTTATTGAGGTTGAAAATGCTATGTCTAAGTTTAAATGATTATAAATAATAAAAAGGAAAATGTCAATAAATATAAAATATATTTTTATTTATATAAATCTAATGAACTTGGATATAAATTCTTAATTTCTACGAAATTACTTTATGGGGAATGTTTTAATTATTTTTTTGAACCATATGCCATTTCAATGTTCAAATTGTGAGAATAGATGATCACTAATATGCTTTGGTATCTGTTAATTTTTCTTTTATCATTTTTAGATTGGATAGAATCCGGACACATGGCACCATTTAAATGTTTTTATTTTATTTTATTTTATCAAATTAGATCGGACAAAATCCTTAAAATCACTTTAATTTAATTGTCTTTTTTTCCCTGATTTAACATGCAAAACTATTTTTTTCTATTATAACTGTTGAGAGTTTGTTTTTATTTTTCAAAATTTTTTTTTTTTACAAAAGAGCTTTGAATTCTATAAAATTCAATATAATTTAGAGTTTGTTCAGTTTAAGCACTCGAATAAATTAGTATTTTCGATTTAACCATTAAAATTTTGAAGTTTTTTTAAGACCATTTTAAAATTAATTAAAAATAAGGATGATACATTAATAACCTTAAGTTTGATAGAAATTTTGTGGTTTAACTTTTTACTAAATTTTGGTTTATTAAAACCTAACGAATTGGTAAGTTTTTGTATTTATGTTTTTTTACAAGTTTACACAGACACCTATGTAATAGGTACTGCCTTCTTGGCTGACGTGACATTAAATTCTCATTTGCAGACTGGACGGAATCATCACGAGAAGAGGGAGCGGGAGGCTTCCCGCACGACGGAACACCGGACCGTCAGTGCGGGAAGCGGTGGTGCAGGAACCAGAGAGGGGAGGACTTGCCTCGTTCTCTCTCCGTCGATCATTGGCCGGAATTTTTTTTTCTTTTTTTTTGAATTAGCCGTTGATTAACGGTAAAAAAAAATTACTAATGGATATATGCATTAAAAGTCATTTTTTTTGTTTTTGTTTTTTTTTAACCTTTTTAAACACTTATAAATAACCCAACTATTTACCTTCAATCAACATTCAAACAAACCCTCTATTCTCTCTATTTTCTTCTAAAAAAAATGAATCCCGACAATCAAACCCCAACTTCCGATCGAATGAAAAAAAGTCATGGTTCGAGTTTAAACATCCCTACTCGAAACATTTTTGCTATCGATTCATCATCACAAGGAGTTTATCGCCCCCAACTCGATGCTCACATTCAATCTCCACTAAAATTTCAATACCAAAATGTTAGACAATATTATCCGATCCAAGTTCCAAATGTTTCGCCGCAAATGTTTTCAAACTTTGTTGTTTTTCCGGATCAACAATCG